GCAAAAACAAGGAAATTTTGAACTCCCTTCACTAATAAGTGTCACATTTGTCTCATCTTTCTATCAATCTCTACACTGTATGCATATCCACGCACAAGTGTATTCCTTCCTTGCAGCATTTCAGAATAAATTGTAGGCCTGGTGTCTCTTTACTCCTAAATATGTCCGTATTTCATAAAAACAGGAAACATTTTCTACAATATCTGTCATTCTATCATACAATCATCCTATCCAAGATTGCAATCATATTTTATGAGTTGTTTCACTAATGCTTTTTACAGTAAAAGAAAATATTATGTCTAGGATCATTTACATTTAGTTACTACCTCCTTATTCTTTTTAAATCTGGAACAGTTTCATAGTCTTTTTGTCAGTTACGGTCTTGATACTGTTGAAGAGCCCTTTCAGGCTGGTCTGTTAACCCACAGTGGATTCCGTCTTTGCCTTTTGGGTAGGATACTCCACAGTGAGGTTCCTCTGTGTCTGTGAACACCAAGCTGGAGCCACCGACGCCTGTTTATCCTGGGACTGGAGACGTTAGTTTGATTAAGGTGGTGTCTTTGGCATTTCCCTACTGTACAGTTACTATGTTTCCCCTTTTCATTAATAAAGCATTCTATAGGGAGATACTTTGAAACTCTGTAAATACCTCATCAGTCTTTCACTCACTAGTTTTGGCCTGCTTCCTAGTTTGTATTCAGTGAGGTATAAAGCTAAAGATACAGTGCAGTGTCAGAATTTATGATCAAAATTTTTAAAGTCGTGAAGGTAGATAACAACACCAGGCCAGAAAGGTTTACTTTTTCTGGATTCATTACCACTGAAATGAAGCACTCATAAATGAAGCAAAACCTAATTCCCCTCACTGTTGCATTTGGCAGGCTGAGTTCTTTTTTGGGTGATCTATTTTATAGAGACAAGAGAGAGTGGCAGAGAAGTCTAGAGACACTAATAGTAATAACAGCTCAATGGCATTAAGAAGACAAAACTAAGGGTATTTATTGACACATCTATCTGTGTAGCTTAGGATAGACTTGAACTCTTACATTGAAGGGATTGTCCTGTGCAGCCGGAGCTATAGATGTGTGCCACTGTGCCAACCTCAGACAAAATTTCATTTATAAACTTCATTCTATTAAAAAAAAGCTAGCCATTTGTGATCATTTTATTTGGCTATATAAAACTACACAGTTTCATTTGACTCCTTGAGCATGATTATGTCCTATGATTGCATTTGATGATTGTAGTTTTTTCATGATCAGCTGGGGTATCACCAAATCAGTACAAACTGATTTATTAACTGTTGTTAGACCAAAGTATGGCAATACCTTGGCGAATATATTTCAACCCAAAATTTGTCTTTGAGAATTCAAAATGCTAACTTGGTAGGACTTCACCTCTTTCTTTTGTCTTGTCTTTTTCTTTCTTTCTTTCCTTCTTTTTTTTTAATTTTATTTTTTTTAGACAGGTCTTACTGTGTATTTCAGGCTGGCCTTGAACCCACAGTGATTCTCCTTCCCCAGCCTCTTGAGTGCTGGGATTAAAGGCAAGCACCATCACACCTGATATTGTCCCTTTCTTATATGTATAATTTTTACAGGTTTGAGTAGGGCTTTTTTTGCTGACTAAATCACAAGATTTGTATTCTTCAATGTTAGTATATTAATCTACAAGATAAATTTAAGCTAACTGGTGAATTGCTTATTCATGTGTTTTTTTGTTTTTGGATTTTTTTTGTGGGGGTAGGGAAAACATCAAGCCAGATTCTCAAAAATTTGCTTAGTGAGAATGGAGCACAATAAGGGTATGTTTTGAAGGTTTAAGGAATTGTTTTTAAAAGTATCTTCTGAGGAATTCTTAACCCATAAAGATAACTCTGCAAAGGTAGAAAGAAGTATACAAAATCTTCACTTTAGAGAGCTGCAAGACACCTGATACACTAATGACTGTTTTTCTTATGAAACCTGTTAAACTTAGATTAATTTAATGTTTCCCCCCAAAAGAGACATAGGGACAGCCACTTTCCCCATTAACACCATCCTCAGAACAGATGTTGCTAGCACCAGACTGCTGTGGTTTTCTTAGAGTTGGGACCAAATGCACTTTGGTTTACCTGACACAAGTCTTTGACACTCCCTTTTCTTTCTATAACCTTTGTTTTAGTTAACCATCTTCTCTCTTCCTTTCCTCCTGTTCTCCCCTCCCCTCCCCTCCTGTCCTCTTTCCCTCTCTTGTTCTTTCTTCCTGCCTACTAAAGATGTTTTCAAAATTTCTGTTAAGCTGTACTTTGACCTGGGAGCCACTTTCTTCCTTTGTATTATTTCTGTTAGCTATTGAGTTTAACTTGTAAAGGGGAGCTATTACTAAAGTCTTGGGACTGAGGGAGTAATATGATTTGAACAATTTTACCCTTTCGATTCCTGATGATGAAGATGATGAAGAATTCAGAATCTAGGTCTGGGGATTTAGCTCAGTGGTTCCACTGCCTGCCTAGCAAGTGCAAGGTCCCAAGTTCGATCCCTGGTACAAAAAAAAAGAAAGAATTCAGAATCGTAAGGCAGCATTTCACATATCTTATTAAATACCTTTAGGATTTTATGCCTGTAGAAAGCTTTCTTTCAAAAATGTTTAAAATGACAAGTTCTACTCTAAAGAAGATATATA